TCCTGCAACTTTCAGCCTCCTATGGTATTCCATTTTCTCAGTCTTTTCCTCTTTGGTATGTTCAAAGACACTGTTATGGCTCTTTAGGTATCAGTGCTTTTCAAGTCCTGAATGAGGTGGCACATAAATCTGGGGAATTCTAGGTTTAAACTGGAGAGTAAATTTAAAGTATTATCTTTACGGGGGCGGGGGGGGATCTTCCGGTCTTTCCAACATTTAGAGCTCTTTTCTGTAAATTCCTTAGTGCTCTGATTATGTCATGATTGACTGATGGCTAATCCTGCAAAAAGGAAGGTTTTTCACTGTCTTTGAACGAAGAGGCCAAATGGAGGCAGTTTCTTTACACTAAAATGTGCAAAATTGTTCTGATTTGTTTTCATTTTATGAAAAGCATATGAAAACTATGAAAAGTACTGTACAAGTTAATAATAACTTTAGGTGGGCTCTGTTTTGTAGAGCAGAGTTCAAAAGAGTACCACTAGTATAAACAGCTCTCTTTTCTTTGTAATACTTCACCGAATTGATGTCTGGGGTAAGGTGTGGCCATTTCTTGGCAGAATGATTCTTCCAGATTTTACTTGTTTTGGTGTGTTTTCAGGAATATGCTTTTATTGCCTAATACTGAAATTGCTAGTTGGAGGAGCTTGTCATCTGTCTCTTGTCACATGAAATTTTAATTTAGCATTCCAACTTTTGTAGTCCTCCCTGCTCACTTCATAAACCTTAACTGCTTCTCCAGTAAAAGGCTGCCTTGGATGACCAAGGCAGGAGAAAGAGCCTCACTGGCTTCATGCCCTGTTCCTCTCTCCTGCCTTCCTTATTGTCACAGCCCAACAGCGTAACCGAGAAATTCCTTTGTGAAAGGGCTAGCTTGAATCCCGGCAGTCCCAGCAAATTCACGCGGTTCCTCTAATGTAAGAATCATAAATGTACTAGACAAGATGTTCTGGTAAGCAAGTCTACTAGCATTCTTCTTCATTGCATCTCAAATAAAGAATGGTGACTGTTCAGCTGATGACAGCAACCCTTGTTAAAGTTCCTGTTTTTAAAGATGGCATAAATGTCTGCCAAGAAAGGTAACTGCCACCAAAAAAAAGATTGCCCCTCTTGGGAGATGACGGTGAGAAAGTGGGCCGGTTTATTTTCTGATATTTTCCTTTAGCACTTGTGATTCGGAGGATTTGTGTATTCTAATACACCAGAAATTGAAACTAGTCATGAGAAACAAAGCTTGAAATGCCATTTCTTAGTGAAAGACTTACAGTCTTTCAGTGATTCCCATTTTAAGGAATGGTTTCAAAAAGCAAAGCCTCAGGGTTAAAACAAAGCTCTTTCCCCTCTTTTACATATGCTCCAAGCATCTAAATCTACTCAACAAGCATGTTGTTTTGCAAGTATCTTATTTTCTTTCCACAGAATGTCAAAAGCACTGCGGGAAGTGCCATCTATGGAATATAATTGATATGGACGCTCT